ACGCTTTATTATCGATAACGCTGCATTCGTCGTTCTTCGACGTTCATAATCGTCTCTCTCACTCTCTCTCTCTCTCTCTCTCATTCTCTCTCTCCCTCTCTCTCACTCTCTCTGTCACTCTCTCTCTGTCTCTCTCGTGGTTTTCCGACCAAAATCGCTTAACTTTACGGACGCGTTCGGATGATATTCGCTCGTATGGCGTTATCGCCACCGTTACGGGAAAGACTTACGTACGTACGTACGTTCGATTGCAGTATCGTTACACGATAAAGTCTATGTTATTCTTCTCGAATTAAAATACGCGTTCGGAGATTATCTTATCGTCAACGACAGGTATCGACGCACACCGTTTACCGTCTGTGGATCTCTGGTAAAACGTGAAAACTAGAACGTATCTTTGGCACGGTTAAGAGGTATCTGCAATTTTCGGTTTCCGCAACACCTTTTTCGTTCGCGTAACTCGACGATCTAAGCTACGAAGCCGTCGATTCGTTTAGCGGCACTGTCTTTCAGTGCATGAGAAGCACGGGATTACAAAAACTCGAGACGGATCGGTTTAGGGCGAAGCGGCTCTCTTACTCTATACTCCTAATCTCGCTCCAGTCTCTCTCTATACTCGCAAATATATCTAGCCCATCTACGTTCGGTTTATACGGCTTACACGCTAATAGATACTTTACTACGAATACCTCTCCTTTGGCACAGTCACGACGATCACACCAATCACAAACATCGAAAGTACTCTAACGTCGAATAGTATTTACTTTGTTAGACACCGTCGAATATCCAAAACTCGGTAGCCACGTTCGTTTCGAGTCCGGCTGTTACGAAGTCGTTAGTTTAGCGTAAGTACTTTAGCTATTTATCTACACGATGCGCATAAAAATAATATATATCCTCGTAGTGAACACTCTTTAAAATGGCATTACTTTCTTAATAGCTTACTTTGACAAATGAATTTGATGACTCGACTCGAATCCTACCGGTGGATATTCCTCCGCTCCTCCTATACTTCCCCCCTTTGCTAAATGCCCTATGTACTTTGTCGTTTTATAAAACTGCGTCCTCGCTCCCGAGGATACGCCGATCAGGCTTTCATTACCGAGCCTAGAAGAGCAAGTGTAAGCAACATCGGAAAAGAAAAAGGACTCGCGAAGCAAGCTTGTAACAGCACGGTAATCTTCGTACGCGATTCCGCGAGTAGCATACTATAGGAATAACGAAAAACAATTGCACTCTGTTGGAACGATTACATCGTTCCACGAACAAAGGTCTAACGACGCGATTTCCTTCCGGCAACGAATAAATAAACAGATCGAATAAACGAATCGAATAAAGGAACAGATTAAAAAATAAAACAAACAATCGGTAAACGAGCGAATAAACGAATAAATAAATAAATAAATAAAAAAATAAATAAATAAATAAATAAATAAATAGATAGATAGATAAATAGATAAACGGCGAAATAAAGAGGTACGCAGCGATATGGTAAATGATAAACATAGACGACGAATAGGCGAAAGACGACGGCACTTCAATTTCGCAGTTCAAACGTGCAATTGGAGTAAAGATGGATTCGCTGATGGTCCCGCAGATGATGTCGGTGTTTGAATCGTTTCTTGCACCAGGCGCATTGAAATCTTGGCCCGACGCCGCATTCCAGTCGCAAATGCCTGGTTAAGTTGCACTTGTGGGAATAAGTACGACCGCATTTCGGGCACAAAAATGGTGGCCCGTCTTCCAAATCCTTCAGCATCTTCCAAACTGCAACATTTTTTTAAGCACACGGTGAAACGTTTGCCTCGCACTTGGTGCAACGGAAAAATAAGTCGGCGGCGGTAGAAGAAGAAGCGTTTTTACGTTTTTACGGCAAAGTAACGTATTAACAACTGAAAGAAGGGGAACGATAAATTGGAGGATCTTACATCGAGGCATGCTATCGCGCAAACCAGTACCTACGTTTTCATTTACGATAGCCGTGCTTGTCGCACCTTCGGCCAGAGCCGTGTTTTCTTCGCTTCCAACCGTCTTCCCGATCGACTGCGACCCCCGCATGCAATCTTGTCAACGTTTCGTATCGAAACACGAATGAACGAGACGCGAATATCGACGGTACGAGAATTAACGACACAGGAAGGTAATCTCTCTCGGCGAGAAATCGATGATGGATCGATCGGACATACTTAACTTTTCGCAAGTATAAAATATTTATTTTCATTGTCGTACAATCGTGAGTATTCGTTGATATCTGTGTTATAATCTGTATACTCGGATCGACACCTTTTTCCCCTTGCATTTCTCGTACTACGAACCGAGAAAACGTATATCTACGTGGTTGAAAAATATATCGAGATAGAACGAAAGTTAAAAGAAAAATGGCAGTGAGTCGTCAGTCTACGAATGGTAACGTTACGGTAAATAATCACCTCGGAGATCACCTAAATGAGATCCATGAAAACTTTACTTTGATATCGATAATAAGAAAAAAAAAAAAAAAAAAAAAAAAAAAAAAAAAAAAAAGAAAAGAAAAGAAAAAAAAAGAGGAAAAGAAGAAGAGAAAAGAAAGAAAAGAAACCGGTCGATCGAGGTGTACTTAAGATTTCTGATGAGTTCTCATGTGTAAAACCAAGTTGTGCTTGTGCTTGGACTTCTTGTGACATATGGGACACTCGAACTGCGGCTCGACGCCGCACTCGAATCTAATGTGCCTGTTCAACGAGTGAGATCTCGTGTAAGCGTTTCCGCAACGCGGACAAGAGTAACTCGAGGAATCGCGGCTATTCGTGTTTGCCTCGTGCTTTCCTGTCAACGATGCCTCGTCGAATCCGTTCTCCGTCATCTTCTCCGCGGCAACGTTTAAGCAATTCCCGGATCGTTGCGTCTTGCTCGAACGTTGCTCGCCGTTCTCGGAAACCGCGCACTCCGCCATTTGATTCTCCGCCATCAATCGAAGATACAAGCTCTGGTATTGATAGTACCATTCGATCGCTGCACCTGCCGAGCACTTCCGTTCTAGAAAATAGATAACAGAATCAGTATCGTTCTGCATCGTTCTCCTACTCGCTTCCGATCATTCCTATCTATGCCCGTATCTACGTTCGTATCTACGCTCGTATCTACGCTCGTATCTATGGTCGCATCGAAAACGAGACGAGACGTCGATGCCGAAAGAAGATGGACTTGCACAGAGTCGGGATACCGTTTAACCGATCACCGTAAAAGCAATTGCACACGGCTCCTGATTCGCGTACCACGTGTTTCGTGTCGAAAATCCGACACGGCTATTTCTCGACATGGACAGATTAATGCCATCGAACGCGGCTAATCTCGCGAATTTCCTTACGTTTCTTCTCGTCCGCGTTCTCGAGTAAACGTGAAAAAACCCTCTGAAGATGAGTTGCGAACGTGAAAATGATTTTTCTGGGAAACGTATACGAGGTTCAGGTTCACCACACAAACAAGGCTCGATGTTATGATTAAGTAGCACGTTAAATTTTTATACAAGCAGCAACACTTTCCTTGCAACATTTAAGAACTTGATCCATCGCGAAGCTATTCGACTTTCTTCACTTTTTTTTTTTTTTTTTCCAAACTCGATTTATTTCACAAGTAGGACAGACAGAGAGAGAGAGAGAGAGAAAGAGAAAGAGAGAGAGAGAGAGAGAGAGAGGAGAGAGAGAGAGAGAGAGAGACAAAGAGAGAGAAAAAGGAAAAGAAACGTAATGGCAGCAATTTGCGATTTATTAAAACATAAAAATTAATAAAAATAGTATCGACATCGTTAAAAAATATAACGTCGATAACGCGATACTCGCCATTTACAATTTTTACCACGATTACCGGTAGTATTCGTGATACGTTCAGGTATCGGAACTTATTAGGATGCTTACTTGCGAGTACAGATCGAATCGATCTATCGTTTAGCGGAAAATCAGCGAATGTATGTATGTATCGGAAAAAGGAAACAATGTCTGAAAGCGTCGCGAGTAATAATGATGATGATAATAATAATAATAATAATAATAATAATAATAATAATAATAATAATAATAATAATAATAATAATAATAATAAACGTATCCTAAAGCAGTCTTGTTGCGATTAACATTCCGAGCGACTCAAATTATTATTTAGGTCGACGTAAACGAACGATTCGATAATCGTTCATCGAGTATTTTGCACAATGGTACTCTATCCTCGAGGAACATCCGTTTTGCATTTCCAAGGATATTTCAACGAACCGATATAAAAATATCTGGAGAATCGATGGAAGAGAGGAAGATGACCGAGGTTGTTCGAGCTTAATGTGGTTTCGGTATCTTGTGCCGGCCCTGATAATGTTCGTTCAACTTGTACTGATGATAAAACTTTTTCGGACACAATTTGCAACAGAACTTCTTTTCTTTGTTACCACACTCAACCCTCTGGTGCCTTAACAAACTGTCTCTCCACTTGTACGTCTTGCCACAACCGAAACAAATATTCATCAAGTTTCCATCGCTGCGCAAATATTTCATTTCATCTTTTTGCGGTAAATTCATGCTGGGGACGTAAGGTTGAAATCCCGATGGCAAACCGTACCGCAGTTGCAACGCGAAGTAGGTATCTGAAATTCAAGAAACAGATAAACCGTTTAGATGGTATCCCCGGAATTCGCACGCGAGAGTGAATAATAGCGAAAAGATCTTAGAAGCGTAGTTCGAACGTTGTACACCCTTCTTACAGGTTCTTACACGGTCAACCCTCGATAATGCTAATAACCACTAGAGAAATATCTCGCGTGACACGAGTCGAATAACGTGATCAAGGTAAACACATACGAGTCTTTCTTTCTCGATCGATCTTGCATAATCGGTTTACTAGACGATCGTCCCGTGGAAAAAGTTGCTCTACCAGACGAAGCTTTCAACGGGAGTAATAACATAAGATAAATCATTGAAAGAACTTTATTAACGGAAAATAAAATCCAACGGATCGTGAGAACGTACAGAGTGATCGTGATCTGAAAAGAATGGAAATTAAAACGGAAAATCGGGAAGAAGCGAAAGCGAAAGCGAAAGATAAACCGATTTCTCGTGGTCGCGATCGCAACGTTTGCCGATCGAAGGTTAAAGATCAAGAAGAAACGACCGACGGTCGACCTAGGTATCGCGATTTCCTAATCGTTAATAACCGTAAGGCGAAGCTGGAAAATTACGCGAACGACCGATCTCTTTGTTTTACGCCAAACCAAACTCGTTCGTGTTTCCGCGTTTACATATTGCATTTTAGTCTCGACGAACCTTCGCGAAGGACATTGATTACAGAGGATTTTTGTCGTTTTTTCTTTTTTTTTTTTTTTTTTTTTTTTTTATAAAAAGGTGAAGAAACATACAAGTTACACAATGATATTCGTAACGTTTGTATTGCTCGTGTAAACTTGCAACATGTGGAAATTATTCCGGTCTACTTACACATAATACGTAGAGTCGCAGAAGCGAAGGGAAAAATTCTATCGATATCCACTGGGAAACGTGGAACGAAGCGTGGAAAGACAGCGGAAAAGAGTAAAAAATAGAAAGCGACTATGATATATCCGCGATTGCCGATGAAACCACTGAACGGAAAAGACTGGGAATTTATAAGTCGTGATAAGCGGTAACGTGATTGCGCAGTTCGTATCGATACTTAAACTTCTTGTCGCACAAGTGACAGGAAAATTTCTTCTCCTTGTTCCCACAGTCGACCCTTTGATGCCTTCTCAGGCTGTCCTGCCATTTGTATCTTTTCCCACAATGCAGGCACACGTATCGTGGTTCGAGAGGAGCCACGCAAGAGTTCGATTCGCAACGTTGATCCATACTGTTCTCCGACCTCGCCGATTCGCCCATCTCCGAGACATACTGTTTGTCGCGGAACAACGAGAGAACGTCCCCGTCTTCTCCGATGCTACGAGCCTTTCTGTTCAGCATCCATAACGGGCTGTATTCTCCCGTTTCTTCGATACCTGCGGGAAAAACGTTCAGTGGCAGCGATCACGTTCCACACGCAATGCGACGACGCGATAATAACGCGAGTCACATAATCTAAAGGTAGGCTCGATAATATGTATATATATATATATATATTTATATATGTATATATTTATATATGTATATATGCAGTTTCTGACGTTTCAGTATTTTCTTCGATGTTTAATGGACGCATAAATAGGATACAAATGCATGACAAGTTTTCAAACAAGCGCAAACATTTTCGTTAAGTCGTACAAGTATTCGCAAAACGTTAATTCAACGAAATCGTCAAAAACATTCTCCTCTTTCCTTCTTCGTCGAAAAAGAAAACACGGGAAAGGAGGAACCGAAGAGAGAAGTAGAGAAAGAGAAAGAGAAAGAGAAAAAAAAAGAGTGAGAAAGAGAGAGAGAAAAAGAGAGAGAGAGAGAGAGAGAGAGAGAGAGAGTGGGGGAGGAAGGAAGGAAGGAAGGAAGGAAGGAAGGAAGGAAGAAAAGAAAATTGATGTAACGCGATTGGAAGGGATTTACTTTGACGATTCATCTATGATAATTAAACGAAATCTACTTTCTTCCATGCAACGAAAGAAATGAAAAAATACAGAGCGCGACGACACGCGTTGGAATAGTCTCGAGACGACAGAGTTGCGTAACGTTTGCTATTAGGTGGCCGGCTTATCGGAGACCGTAGATGCGGTCTCCTTGTCGCTGCAAACGAGTCTCTGATGCCTTCTCAAGGTGTCCAGCCTTTTGTAACCTTTGCCACACTGATTACAGTAAAATTTCTGACGATGCAGCCACTCCACTTCCTCTTGCAGCTTCTCCAACGAAGCGTCGCATTTGGCTTGGTGCCGTTTCAGGCTGTCCATCCGCGTGTAGGCTCGATCGCAACCGTCGCACCGAAATTGTTGATGAGACTTCACGTTTTTCCGAAGTATACTCGTTTCCACGGAGTTGAGGATGGACGAGTCGCAGAGGAGATAGTTCATCGGTAATTGGCCGTGAAACGAGATTTCGCAGATCTCCGTGTCCTCCTCTTGCTCTTTCTCCAAGCAGCTGTCCGACTTCTCACCTGCAAAGATACGTTTCACCGTTACAAACGTGAGTTACCCAGCATCGCGTTGCGCTAGTTTTTCTCAGAAAGGGAGAAGCATGCATGTGTTTCGTTATAGCCAAATTACCTTGCGTTCATCTCGCTTTCGAGCAAAAGCCTGAGATTCGTGACTATTTGCTGGTTATAATGCGAACAACTTCGTTAGTAATCAGAAAGACGATTATAGACGAGCGTTCTTTACCAAGAAAGTCCTTCGAACAGATAAGCAGAGATTAAAAAGTATAGGTTTCAAGAACGTTTTATTCGATTTCGAACATCCGAAGAAACAATTATTCTCGTCGATCGGCTCGATCTCGCGGATCTTCGCTCAAGTACATTTACAGCATCCTCGATATACATACATAGCGCATAAGACGAAATTCTTTCCCAATAGAAATTGTACAACAAAACCCGTGTCGCAAACTCGTTTATTACAATTATCCTACTCCAGTCCAGCTCCGAATGCTCTCTGTCTTTGATATGCTCGTTAACAGCGTTACAACGATTCGAGCATCGGAGGTGATAGAGCGATGGAACTCGACGAAACGATCGTCTTGGAGGATCATCCCGAAAGATGTCACGTCCCGTATTATTCGATATCGTTCAAAGCGATGGAACGGTACTACTACTACTCTCATCGAATTTCCAACATCTCGTCTCTATAAAATAAGCACCGCTACGTCCGATATATGTACGTATAAATATCTATATATATGTACGTATGTATATGTATATGTATATATATATATACATATTTATACAAATGCACGTTTACAAACACGACGCGAAGAGTTCCATTCCCTAAATGGAAAAAACTGGACGATTTGCAGCAGGCCGGCGAGATCTTTCGACGACATCGAATACCGAACGATCGTCGTTTTCGTATAATACGAATCGACTCGTGCTTGTTCCACTTTGTACGTCGTGTCATTTTAAAGAGGAACACGGGCGCGAAGCTAACGCGTCTCGGTAGGGTTTTCGTTACACGCGTAAAGCACGTAAACTTACTCCGATATGTCGCGTCGACGATGCGTAAAAATGTACACAACGCGGTGGTGCTTATTCGAAACAAAAGTGCTGAACTACAGCAGAGATTTATGTGTACGTGTGTGTATGAGTGTTTATATGTCTCTTTCTCAATCGTTCTTACTTTCCTTTCTTCCTTTTCAAACGAACCGAGTTGAAACTGCGACGACGATTAATAAAACTACGAGAGATTGAACGCAGAACGCGAAGGATTAACGTTCGCGTTTCAAAGTAAAAGAGAAAATGGGAAATAGGCGAAAGAAAAAAAACCAAAGTCAAAGTTTTGTTTGCAAAGAAAGCCCTCGATATTTTTTATACATATGGTTCTCCTATGGCATTTGCGACTTCAAAAAGAGAGTCGAATGCACCGATTTCACGTGAGAGATCAACGAGAGCGGCTTGGCGAACTTTTTGCCGCAAAAACGACAGTACATTCTGTCTCCTTTCACTCTGCAATAGTTCTTCTCGTGTCTTCGCAGACTGTCGAGCCTCGAGAAGCTTTTGCCGCATTCCTCGCAGATCACGCTCTTCGCAGCCTTCTTTCGTTCCTCCACTTCCGCCAACTCGTAGCTGCTGGCCACGAACTCGAACAACGTTTGCGGCACCTCGTACTCGTTCTCCTGCTTCACGAACCAATCGCTCAGGTCCGCGCGTTTTCCTGCGAAGAACCAACGGTTCGTGTTAGCAAATATTACTGTTCCTCTACATTTTAGTCGATTGATCGTATGGAACGGGACAACGCATGCATCGAAAGAAGAGACACAAATTTTCGCGGCTGCTGCCTCGAAAGCAGTAAGCGCATAAATATACTAGTTCTCATAAATGAGCATAAAAATTCAATCGTTTTCTTTCCGTTTGCTTTTCCGTTTTATCGCGGCAAAAGCTGTCGCGTGATAAACCAGAAGCGATCAACGCGAAACGTATCTTCCACGTTTTCCGTAGCTTTTATTCGCCACTCGCGGTTCGTGCGTGTATATTTCCACTCGTTTATAAAGAACAACAGACAAAACGTATTTCTATCAAGCCAGACATTTATTGATCGAATGTAACAAAATTAAAAAATATTTCATTCGACTGGAATCGTTTAGGATAACGTCGCACATAAAGTCGGAAGGTATTTTATATCTCGTACGGAACGCAACCTTCGCATTTCGCATTAAATACCAGAAGTACATTCGCGGTTTTCTTCTGCACCGAGACGCGTTGTCCTAAGACAAGCAAGATGCAGAGCAACGAAAATTTTCCAAAGGCGGATCTCGTTCGTTGTTCTCGATCGAAATGATCGACGTCGTGACGTCACCTCGCAGATGAAAACCGATTAGATCGAATCGTCCTCTGTGGTACAAGAGAAAGAGAAGCAAAGCTTAAACACAAGCGGAGATAGAGTACATTGAGATTGAAAATTAGTGGTTATAAAGAAACGTTCGATCAAGCTTCTTCCCGCTTCTTCCCGCCCGTTGCCACGTCGCTGTTTTCCCGTACGTTATGTCGTACTGTTAGTTCACGGTTCATGCGTTCCGAATAAATTATGATCGTCGTTTCAGCGTGGTTGTCGAGTAACGTTAAATACGTAAAAAGAGAGAGAAAATGAGAGAGAGAGAGAGAGAGGGAGGGGGGGATTAAACGAGAAGAGGAGAGGGAGAGACGAATTACTGACTATCGCTAGATTACTCTGACTACTCGATCACGGCCGTTTACTTGGCCGCAAACCCAGATCGTTTTGTCGCTCGCTAAACTCGGTCGAGTGACACACGACGGCAAAGTGTCCTACGCGTGTGTGCCGAGAGTTACGTCACGTTCGATCGAGATTCACACTCGACGGATTGAAAATACGTAAAATCACCGACAACTTATGAAACACTGTGTTTGGTGTTGTAGTGATTCGTTAATTCGTATCTACGATAAAACTCCCTCCGGCATATTCTGCAGTGATGCTTGGGCAGCTTTCCGCATTCGAGTCTTTGATGCCTGCGAAGATTCGCCATCCACTTGTAACCTTTTCCACACTCTCCACACATGTAGTTCTGCATGGTGCTAACCTGTCCGCGACTCACGCGTGGTCTAATCATCTCCGGAATCAGTTTGACATCCTTCGATTCAAACTCCTCGAAGTCGTTGATCGGATTGGAGCCGTCTGCAATGCGACAAAAATCGATTACTGCGGATTAATCGTGATCCAACGGATTCGCGATTGATAGGATTAACGTGGGTGAAACGAGTCTAGAGAAACTGGATACATCTACTACTCTTGTCGATACTTGCGCGGCCCGCACCTCGGGCAGCTTCGCGTAGTGAATTTATAAGCGTATTAATTATCAATAACTTTATTAAATCGATGGCTTTCGGGAAAAATACATTTTCTCGGATTCAATCGCGTCATCGGTACGAACGATATATACGAGGGGGTGTACAATTTGAAAGGAACGTCAAAACGTTCGAACACGATCGAAAGGTATCCCTCGAATCGCTAGGAAGGGACTCGAAGTTTTTCAGAGAGGTCGTATTATCGTTCGTTAATCTCTAAATCAAATCCGGATGATGTGCCAGCAAATGTTCTTTCAGTCTGTCGCGCCTGTAAAATTTTCTCGAGCAAAAATGACACTTGTTTCTCGCTTCTTTGTTGCCACATTGCAGCTGATGTCGACGCAGGCTGTACATCCAAGTGTACTCTTTGCCGCAAAGCGCACACGTGAAAAGTTGTTGTTGTTGTTGTTGTTGTTGCTGTTGCTGCTGCTGTTGCTGTTGCTGCTGCTGCTGCTGCTGCAACTGTTGCTGTTTCTTGTTTGGATCGATCACAGGACACGGATAGTAGTACGCGTCGTTGAAGTTCCTTTCTTTCAGCAACAGGTCGTCCATCGAAGCGCTTCGATAATCGTTCAACGTGTTCCAGACGTTCTTCGATAGAAAACCTGCCGAAGTAACACACTCGTAAACAAGCAGCATTAAACGAGAGCTAACATACCTCGGGGCAAAGGGATGGTTAGAGAGATGGTTGCGGGTAAACGTGAATTCGGACGTGAACGAAGGGTGGAAGGAATTGCGCGCGTTTTTGATTCGATGCGATGCAAATTGCACGAGTAACGACACACAGAAAGAGAGAGAGAGGGAGAGAGAGAGAGAGAGAGAATGTCAGTTTGAGAAATGCTGGAAAACAACGTCGTTTCGATTACACGTCGATGCAATTATCTTTGACAGTTTACATTCGTTTATTTGTCGATACATACAAAACGGCGAAATATAAAGCGTTACGGTTGAAAATGGTTTTTGGTATGCGTTTCGGCGAAGCAAAGGTATACGGAACGTAATGGACAAGCCGGCAGAGCTTCGTACACCCGCGGCGTACATTTTCCTTCCTTTTCGTACCTTCGCGTTCCGTTACCCTCCTTCTCGAGTATTAAAAAAACGTTATATACATCGCAGATTAACGATTAATCTATCATTCGTGAAGGAATAAACTCGTTTCGACTCGAACACGCGATTACTTCCGATTATTATTATAAAAGTGAAATTATTCGGGACCGCTCGAGTCGACGATGCACGCAGATCTGTACTTCTCGATGTGGTCCAAGTCGAATGGAAAAGGGTCGACGCGTTGGCGAATGAAAATGCTGGGACGTTTGCCGAATTTGGAAAGACGTCGGTCCGTGGAACGGTTACTCTCGTTCTTCGTTGAATACCGGCGAGTCACCGCTTTTCTGGATAATGTGCCGCAGTTTTCTCTGGCATCCAACGATGTGCGAGTTCAAGACGAATCTGTGCTTGAATCTTCGATCGCATATGGGGCAAACTTCGCAAGGCACGACGCCGCACTCGAGTCGCTTGTGACGACTCAGTGACGTGGTGGCCTTGTAAGTTTTCCCGCACCTGTTGCAAGCGTACTTGGAATCGGTATCCTTTGAATCTTTTCGTCTCTCAGCTCTGTTCGGTTCGTAAGGCAAGCCGGGGTACGGTAACTGACTCCACAATGCTTCGCTATTGTCCTGCGGTTGCTGCACGTCCTGCGACAGCAGCATCGACGCCAATAGTCCTGAAACGAAAGGATTCGTTCGTTAGACGCTAGACTCTCGCATCCAACTCTCGTTGTCGTATGTCGTCCTTAACGGGATCAAAGAGGAAGGATATTTTCCTCCGAAACGGGGATTAAGCGAGCTTTAAGTGCGCCATGTCCCTGCAATGTCCCGGGACTTTTTCGTCACGGTCGGCGTAGCTTTCCCGAGAAAGGGGAAAAATTTAGATTAGATATAGAAGGAGAAGAGGATGTAACAAAGAAGAGCAGAAATGGCCATAAAGGGGCAAGCGAAAGACTAAATTGTTATGAAAGAGAATACGGGGTGTCTTGCATTTCCGATGAAACACGACCCTGAGTTTTAGTTTTCGATGACATACCAAGTTGGGCAAACGATCGTTTTATAGAGGAAAACGTGTATTTATTTAATCGTGTAAAAACTGTACAACGGTTCAGTTGTGCTCTCGCATCGACTCTTTTTCTATCCAACACAGATTTACTCTCTCCCTCTCTCGCACGCACTCTCCTTTTCCTTCTTCCCCGTTTTTCCATTTCCTTCCTTTCCCTTTTTTCTTTTCTTCGTTAGAAGCGAACAAACTCGTCGATAACCCGGCCTCGATAACCGTATAAAAGACAGCACCTGTGTCGTACCGTATTATAAAATTACAATTTTCCAAGTTCGCAGTTATAAATAAGCTACGTATAAAAAGATAAATATCTGATATAGTTATCTTGCTTTGGGAAAAACTTTCCTTTATCGTCGTTATTCGCGCGAATGCATCGGAAAAATTCGAACCACGACACCCTTCTGCGATCTAATCGAAAGGGAAGAGAAAGATGACTCTCTTTGCCAACAACGTCGAAAGGCAATCATCGCGAAGCATTTACTTTCTATCACGTTCGAGGAAACGTTCATCGACGTTATCCTCGCTATCTCGAATATCCCGTTAATCTTGCACCCTTGGCTCGAAGAAGCTCTATCGTGATCGTTAGTCGGTGGTTCGTTCACACCGTTGCTCGTTATCGCGCTCTCCGTCCTCTGTCCCTTTTGCGCAACGGAACCATCGTGCGTCACGTATATCGAATTTTAGTCGATAGGCCTAAAGATTATTTGGTTTTCTTCTGGTTTGTACGATCACCAGGATACCAACACGGAGTTCGCGATCTATATCGTTCCGTAGTATTCCCGTTTTCTTCTACACGAAGCCAAATGATGGGTCAACTTGAACCTATGCGTGAACTTTTTCCCACAAATTTGACAGCTTTGCCTCGGCTCCACCCCGCACTCGAGCCTTTGATGCCTCCGTAGCGAAGTTTCCAGCTGATAACCCTTCCCGCATCTGGTACACTTGTGAATCACTGGTCGCCTCTTGTATCGTAGGTTTTCGATGTTCGTCACCGTCAGCCTTGGCACTGGAAAATAGAGAAAAGACGAAACGCCAGTCAGTAAGAGGAGAACGCGTTCGATTCGATATTTATACGCGATACGACGAAAGGGGATGTGTGGTCAGACACGGCCTACGACCAGCGTAAAACGCGTGGAATTTTCATATCGTTTGGAATAAAGTGGAAACAGAGGCGAACGACAAGAGCGAGAAATGGCGGAGGAGCGTATGTACCATGGATAGAGCGTAATCGCCGTTTACTCACGACGAAAAGCGTGCGACTATGAAATTTCGCAGAGCGTCCCACTGGAGACGCGAAAACGTAGCCGAGTACGTCTCGTTTCGTGAATTATACTTACGGAGAGAACGCGTAAGCATTTCGTTTTCGCATCTTTGTTCTCTTTTCTCCGTTCGATTTCCTTCGTTTCTTTCGCTAGTCTTTACCAGCGAGAAAGTTCGACGAGCAACCCTGTTGTACGAATACCACGCGAAATCTCTTTCGTCGGTTCGTTATTGCTCAACGTTTATTTTGCGAAATAAACAAAATTGCCAGGACAAGCGTATAAGTAACTTTCGTGACGTAATAGGATCGATCACAGTGCCTTAAAGCGTGTAATCACAGTTGCAACTCGTTCGTCGCGTTAGTTTCGTATAGGATGGACTAGCGCGTGGAGACTAGCTAGATTCCGGTGTGTTTCGTCGGTCACGTGTTCAGATAATGTATCAGTCTAGTGTGCGACTGCCAACGGTGTTTGTGCTTGAACTTCCGGCCGCAAATCGGGCATTCGAACGTGGGATCCTTGCCGCATTCCAATCGCAGGTGCTTTTTCAGCGAGTCTTTCCACATGTACCGCTTACCACACTGGAAGCACCACCACAATTTCTCCGAGGTGGCTGGAAAGAAAAATTCACCAATTATTTTCTCGCTCTTACATCGATCCGTTTCTTTCGGACGCGTCGTGTTTCTCGCGAAAGACGACCAAAAGCTACCGGTAACGCGAACCGTGATGAACTTTCCGAACGCGACGATCTTTCGATGACTCTGCGACGAAACGCGCGAGGAAATGAAAGAAACAATGGGGTATGGAACCTTTTGGATACGTTCTTATCTTTTTTCATACTGTATTGAAACATTTTCACATTTTAACATTCTAGTCGGTTCGAAAACCTTCTCGGACTTGCGACAAAAGTTTCTCTTCCATTTCTTTCTGTTTTTCTTAGAGTAACATGGAAAGTTGCAAAAGTGCTTCGTTACAAATTGATACGGTGCATGGATTTCGCGTGAGATTGCCATCGATGCTTATGCTTGAACTTCCTGCCACAAATGGGACACTTGAAAGTAGGTTCTTTGCCACATTCCACCCGGATATGATTCTTCAAGGAACCACGCCACTGATAACGTTTGCCACATTGAAAGCAGATCCACACCTTCTGCGAGTGAGCTGCAAAAGAAGAAGCGTATCGCATTCGGTTACCTTTCTCGATTTTACCCTTCTCCACGCTACTTTCCATCGCACTAGACGCTAAACGAAACGGTTAAGCAAATACCGTACAGAATTCTCGAAATTGATTCGTTCGCTCGTTTACCAAGCAGTTTACCACGCGACGCTTTTCTTATCAGCGATTAATTCGAATAACATGCATCTTCGAAAGCGACCTACCCTCGATAACCTTTGACAGAAATTAGACGTTTCGTCGTTCAATTCTTATCGAGTCTTTATTCAAACTTTCTAGTTAAGTTTACGCGTTTACAATTTGCTGGAAGCCCAGAATTTCTCCAACTTTGTCAAATAAATTCGTCGAGTTGATTTGTACAGAGTTTAAAGTATCTTAAATATCCGATACAAAACGTGCGTCGAAGAGTCGTTGTGTCAGCAGCAGCAGCAGCAGCAGCAGCAGCAGCATCGTCATCATTGTCACCACCATCACCACCACCACCACAACCATCACCACACCACCGTCATCGTCATCATCGGCATCGTCATCCTGTCACTCACTCATTGTGCGTACGATATTCGAGATTGTCGCGATAAAGTTCGGACTTTGTTCCGAACCTGTCCCTCTTTATTATCGAAATCCTTGACTGTGCAAATTCGAGGTGAGATGCGACTGCAATCTGTGCTTGTACTTGAACCTTCTGCCGCAAAGGACGCAGTTGAATTTCGGTTCCTTTCCGCAAAGGCGGAGATGCGTGTACATGGAGGATTTTCTCGAATAGATCTTGCCGCATACTCTGCACGGGTAAACGGTTTCTCGAGCAGCCTCACCTGAAACACAAATCATGAGTCGTGCGTGGATGCAAAAGCCGTAGGAGCGCGTAACGCGTCGCGTTTCAAAACCGCGGAGGATTCATCCTAACGAACGAACGAACGAACGATCGGTTGCGACGCGGATCCTTTGCGAGTTTACTTAAATTAAAACCGTAGGAGAGTAGAAATCGTTTTTGTACGATCAAGCGAACAGGTACGAGAGAATTTCGGTATGAACGAGCATGCGGCTGCTCGCAGAAATGAACATCGACATCGATACTCGGAGAAATACTTTGTTCGTTACGTTTATTGCTCAGCCTCCGATTTATCTCCGCGCTCCTCTAGTTGCGAAGCTAGCGGTTTATCGAATCATTGTCATTAACATACGTGTACATCGAGTAATGCCGAAGTTTCTCGAACATTTTCGAAATATCGCTTTTCTACTCGTAGTATCGTCAGTCTCGGTTTTTCTTCGTCTAAATTATCCTGCAAAATATCTTCGAGGTACTCTCTATCGGGTATGCGAGATTCGACGCTCGTTCGTGATTTCGTACGGCTAGAAACGAATCTCGTAGCACGGTCAGAAAGATCGTGATTGTCCTTCGAGTGCATTCGGTCCGGTCGATCATCGATCATCGATCAACACTGATCGACGTAATTGTGGATAGATTTGTAATGCTTCGTGAGGTGGTGCTTGTGTTTAAATCTTCTTCCGCAGACTCTGCAACAGAATCGTGGCTCGATACCGCATTCCATGCGTTTGTGCAAGTTCAACGATTCTTTCCATTTATACGTTTTTCCACAGTTGTTACAGAGATAGCTCGAACGAATGACAAAAATCGGTAAATCTGAAATCACAAAGAGATACACTTTTATTAGCATTACGAACGAGGTGCCCGTCCAATTCAACGAACGCAAGTATACACTTTCCATGTGTTAACGAAAAACTACCCCTTCAACTTCACCTCAAATACGTGACGAAACAATATCTTTTATTACCAAGTTTGAAACAACGTGTACATACAATTTTATAATAATACCGTATCCAAGGGGATCGCGTTAGGAATAAAAGACTCGTAGTAGCATGTCGCAAAGGAACATCGACGTCGACGAATGGTCCGCAGTCGATTTGCTTTTCGTAACCATTGCAAACGGCAAACCGAACCGACTTTACCCTTCGCTTTCTCTCTCTCTCTCTCTCTCTCTATCCCTCTTTCTCTCTCACTCACTCACTCACTCACTCCCTCCCTTTCATTCGTATCGCGTTTTCACCGTGGAATTGGAAGAAGATAGGAAACGAAAGAAACGCGTCGATTTATTGTTTGTTGAACCAAGTGACTTTCGATTGATCGTACTGATGACGTCTCCTCAAATGTTCTTTCAAATGATGCTTATGCTTGAATCTTCTGCCGCAAAAGATGCAGCCGAACTTGGGTTCGATTCCACATTCTAGTCGACGATGCTGTTGCAACGATTCCCTCCATTTATATACCTTGCCACAGTTGTCGCAGAAGTGCTTCCTAAGCAGTCCTAAAAATTAACGACACAGCGAATTTGTACTATCATTTCGATCAATCTATATTACGGACGATACGTTCGTAAATATTTCGTATTCTCGAACCTTTCGTTCGCAGGTATCGCAAGAACCTCTCTCTCTCTCTCTCTCTCTCTCTCTCTCTCTCTCTCTCTCTCTCTCTCTCTCTCTCTCTCTTTCCCGCTGCTCACGCTCGAAACATCGAATTACTCTGTCGTGTTTTGTTTATCGTACGATAGAACTTGCGAATCCCACGAATGTAAGGAAACGTTTCAATCGTTGGTTTCTATTGCACCTTAGATCGGAACGACATTCACCGTGACTAATTCGCTACGCATCACGCGTTTCATTAGCTGAATTTATTCATCAAATTTTACATAACGTACATAAATACAATTTCGTGTATAAAATGTACATCCTTAAGCGACCGTAACGCACGAGAGAGTACAAGCGAACTGTTTTCCGTGAAAAAATGGTCGCCGTGATTACGCGCGTTGACCGACACAGATCGTAACCGCTCGATCGGTAGTCCGAAGATTAAACGTTCTTTCCGTTCGAAATAACCCAATGATGAACGTTGATCAAATGCTTCTTCAACATCCATTTGTGGCGAATTTTTGTCCCGCAAACGGGACAACAGTGTTGCGGATCCTTGCCGCATTCTTCTCTTTCGTGTCTAACCAGCGATTGCATCCATTTGTATTCCTTGCCGCAATTCGAACAGAAGTGTCTCCCAAGTCTCTTGTAATAGTCTGAACCGCAGTAAGCTGAAAGAACAATGCAGTTTCTGTAATTACGTTCAGAGGTACGCCTACTCGAATAGCTTCTTAGCCTTTTTTCCTATCGCGTATAACCGCTCCTCGTGAATGCGAAACGAAACAAACCTATGACGACCTATGTACGTATATCGAGCGCAATAACTCAAGATACTCGTGGCTTTCGATAAAAACGCTTTATTAAAATTGCGGATCGTTTTCAATCGATCGATCGATCGATCGACCGATCGATATCATCGCGAAATTCGCATTAAAATAGTTCGCAGCTGAAAGCTCGAACATCGGCGTCGTTTAAATTCGTCCGATTCAACGTTCCCTCCACGTTCTCGAACGTGTTCTCGAACTTGACGTGGAAATCTTAATTTTCACGTAGGAATCGTTTCCCCTTTATACTGGACGCTCGTCTCGATCGATTATTCGTATCGTAAATCGTAACAATTACATACGGGAAACGAAGGACGAAAGTCGCTGTGACGCAGCACCACGCCTTATTTACATCGCATATTCTCAGAAGGATAGCTTTTTCTTTTCTCCTTCTTTTCTTCCTTTGCCTCTTTAGTCTTATAAAACGATAAACAATGCGTTCCGTAAACACGGGGAACACGTATAAAAATTTATGTACACTTTAAACGTATCAAAATGTTAAGCGACGCTAGAAAAGTTACGGATACAAAGTGTGAACACGACGACTCGATGGTCCAATGTCGACACCAATAAATTATAAGATTCGTTATTTTACTTTTAGTTAACAAATACTCGATTCGACGGACTCGATGCGTAGAATCGCACTCGTACGATCCTTTACAACGTCTGGGATTCGAGCGACGGAATTGGAAAATTCCGAATGGAGAATTCAACGACCGCTTTCGGATCGATGATGGTGTGTAATCAGTCTTATAAACGAACGGATCGATATCGCGAATGCGCTTCGATTCGGGAAGAGATACCGGTAACGCAAGCGACAGAACGCATTCTAACGTTTCCTCGTGCTTTTCCTCGCTGTTCGGAATGTTTCAAAAACTGGTCGGGAAAAGGCGATATAAAAATGTTTGTCTTTTATCCAAAAGGATACGGCCACACGCGTTACCGTTCGGGACGATTGCTTCGATCGGTTTCGAAAAGGAACAAAATTCGACATTCTCGACGGAATAGGTTAGGAAACGTTCCGAGATTCGAACGGAATCGCGTTCACTCTGCCTTGTGAACGTTATTTTCGTGACGCAACAAGTAATCTCTGCGTTTGAATTTTCTGCCGCAGAGGGTACACTTGTGCCTGGGTAACTTTCCGCAGCCTTCGCGAAGATGTCTGGTCAAGGAGTCCGTCCATGTGTAACGTTTCCCGCACTTGTAACAGGTAAACGGAGCGTCGTAGTTGACGCGATTCAGGTCCCTCTTCGAGTCTGAAACAGATGACAAAGACAAGGAGAGATTAACGAGATTAACGGGAGTTTTCTTGACCGTTCAGTATCCTTTATCTCGCGCGCGACTCGTCTATCTTAGTTGGCGCGTTGTTGCGAGTCAACGATCCAACGATACGTTTGCCACGAAGAAGGCCATGCTTATCGTCCGCTGGCTATCTTCGGCACGCGTTTTAAGGACCGCGAAGCAAGCCCGAGGGATGAAGGAGGAAATCGAAGAAGGTGAAATATCAGCCGAATCACAAGTACACTCCTCTTTATTGCTTCCAGTATAGGGTAAACGGTATGCTATCCGCGAAACAACGAGTTCCGGTGAATCGTCGCAACCGCTAACGCAACGTGGGAGAATTACCGACTAACGTCTAACGTCGAACGTAAAACGATCCTTTCCCTCTCTTCCAAATATCTATGCGTATACGTAGGTATGCTTTTTCTCGGTATTATGGTTAAACGACGCTCGGGGAAAGAGAGTTCAATGAAACTTCCTCAAATGGGACGTGAGCAACTGCTTGTGACGAAACTTCCTGCCACACGTCGAACACGCGTATTTCGGTTCCACTCCGCACTCGTACTTCAAGTGCTTGTTCAGAGAATCTCGCCAGCGATACTGCCTACCGCAGTTTTTGCACTTTGCCCTCTGCTGCTTGCCGCATTCCTCCCGCAAGTGTCGATGATACGAGGACTTCCAAGAGTAGGTTTTACCGCACATGTTGCACTGGTAGAATTGGTAGTTTGCCATACCGCCGTGACCTATCGCCGGCATCCACCCTGAAATCGTAGTTGGCTCGTTAGACACCTCCACGTTTCCACGACGTTACGTTACCTCGCGACTTACTACCTGTAAGCTGTCCTGCATCTCGCTTCGGATGCCGAGTCGCTTCGGGAAAGACCAAAGACTTTTACGATTTTTCCCTAACGATAAGCAATCCCGTTACTTTTCCGAGAGCCTAGCCTTAGGTTAAGCGATGATACATATATATATATATATCATCGCTGGTGGCTAGGCTCGTTGGCGAATTCGATCGATTCAGCGATGACGGGGATGACTCGTCACCGAGTAACACTGCGATTCGAGTTTAAGCGACAAGCGATGGCCGGGTGTACGTTAAACGAATGATGATTGTTAAAAGCGATTAAAAAAAGTGATTAGAAAAAAGTAAGGGTAGTAGTTGGCGATGCATGGAGAAGGAAAATTGTGCCTTTATTCTGCGGTGCGTACAAAGTTGGAGTAGTAGTAACCTTGCCCAAAACGTCGACGAATACAAACTGCGTAAAAGGTCGATTTCCTTTATCGGTTATCGACGAAAAGTTCGGCAAAAAGTAAACGTTGGCGCGCTATCGTCGAGATTACGTCGATTCGATAATCGATTATAATCGGACTGGTTGGAGAATTTGAAAGCGTTCGGGTCACATGAGACATCCGTGAACCGTCCACACGTGTCGCTGAAAATTCGAGCGTTGCTTGAACGCTTTCTGACAATAACGGCACAAGTATTGCGGCATTTTGCCACACTCCTCTCGCAAGTGACGATTCAGCGTGCTTTTGTTCGTGTAGGACCTGGTGCACTTGGAGCAGGGGTACGGCTTCCGGAAATCGTCTTGACCAACGTTTCTCGGAAATATGGACCGACCTGAAATCAAAATCGAATGTCGATTAATTCGACGAATATTCCGCGAATACAGCGCGTTTCTCGTGATTTAACAGATATCGTAACATCTTCGGTAGCGGTTTAGTAGATCCGAAGCAGGTTTCGATTTTTGCCTTTCTTTTTCTCCGGTTTTCTCCTTTTCATCGAAAAATCGTAAAAAGAAACACGAGAGAAAGCGAAAAGGAAGAAACGCGACTGTTAGATAACCGATTTTATCGTCCGACAAAGCAAACAAGGATTCGCTATTCTCTGCTCGGATACTGCGTAGGTACTGCGTAGGTACTGCGTAGATACTGCGTCGATCTTCGTGGGACGATTCTTCAATTCTTGCTCGTCTTCAGTGATGAGTGTGGCTGACTGCAAGTCCTTCCAAACGATGGATATCTTGAAACAGTTGGAATCCGAAGATATTTAAGCGACTACGGACGAATTCGAAAGATCTGAGACAATAGTGTACCCTTGCAATTACAGTTTTATTATCGCGTATTTCGATAGTTATAATAAAATTATAATAAACTACAGTAACACGTTGCGAAACTAGTTAACGTTTAACCAAGGCCTCGGCGAACATCGTTTTCACGAATTTTTTCAAATATCGTACAACAATCATTATTCAACGTATCACAGAACATCGCTCGTAGAATGAAATTTCTCAAATGAATTTTAACGTCGCACTTTCTTCAGAGTCGATCGCATTCTCGCGTTTCGTACGCATTCCCGGCAAATCGAATTTTTGTTTCGTTTTTTTTTTCTCCACGGAGAAAGAAAAGAAAGAAAAACCAAAAGGACAAAAGAAAGAAGGAAGCGTGAAAGCGAATGAGAGCGAAAGAGGGGGGACCGCAAGTACAGAGAAGTTTCGAGCGAAAACGGAAAACCTCGCGAAAGGGTCGAAAGAAGCGGGGAATCTTGCACGTGTCAGCCTTGTCGCTTAATCCTTTACTATTTAACTATGTGTAGATCGTTGATAAAAATAGCATAGTGGGTTACATAAAAGATAATGTAAATGCTGCGTGAAGCTACAAAGTGTGAGGAAGTAAGAAAGTAATAGAAGCATCGCGGTAAAATTCGATTCTCTTCGGGAGAAGAAGAAGAGGAAGAATTAGAAGAAGAAGTAGAAGAAGAAAAAGATGCAATTGGAAGAAGCCGTGAGGTGAGAAACGGTGTTAGCTTCGGGCGACGAGACGGCTCATCGTAGTTGCGCGCCCGTTGTGACCGTCCTTTACGATCCAAGGAGGAAAATACGGCCGTGAATGGTCGAATTGTGTCGTTGGAAGTTGGCCTTTTGCTTGAATCCTTTGTCGCAGATGCTGCAGATGTATCGAGGCGGCTTACCACACTCGTCGTGGAGATGACGTTTCAGGCTGCCTTTGTTCATGTACGATCTACCGCACTTGTGGCACGGAAACGGTTTCGGCAAGAAATCTTGGCCCCGCGGCGACGAAAACCTGTTCCTCGAGCAACTACCTGCAATTTAGAGGTCGAAAGGCTTCGATTATTCGATCTAATCTCGTTTAGGCGATAGTAAAAGCACGTTCCCTTAAAATTCATCTTCCATGATGTCAGTTATTTACTTAGCGATCCTCTCTCTCCCTCCCTCCCGCCACCCCTCACTCTCTCTCTCTCTCTCACTCTTTCTCTCTCTCATTCTCTCTCTTCTCTCTCTCTCTCTCTCTTTCTCCCCCTCTTTTTTGTATTTTGCTAACTTATCGACACGCGTGCTTTGCTATGTATATATATGTATACATATGTATATATATGTGTATATGTGTATATATATATAAATATGTATATGCATATATAGTATAAGTAGAAACGAGTTTACATGTGTGAGCTTTGAAACAAAAAATGCGACATTCGAGAAGCGAAAGAATGATCGATGCGTTTCGAATACTGGGAGAGGTATACACGTTGCTACTCGAAAGTGAGATGCAAAGATTGATCTCGAGCTTTGGTGATTGCGCATCTTCGGGTGACGATCGCGTGTGAAGCGAATAATATAAGCTGCTATCGACGACGTTGAGTATATGCTTGTATTCTTTCGCAAGCTTTATTATACGTAGCATGGTGAGTGAAAATCTTCCGTGGTGGACTCGCGAACACGCGAATCGACGAATTTCAGAAAACTAAACGAAAGAAGTAAAATTTCACGCGAATTCCTTTCTCAAAAAATAAAAGCGTGATTCTGGTGATCGCGAAAAAATTCGACTTTCGTTGGAAGCCGATCTCGTAGACGTTTTCTTCTCGCACTCGTCCCTCTTTCAACGTGTTCTTCCGGTCGTGTAAGATATTCCGTAGATGTTGCAATGGTTTTCCCATTTCGCAAATTCCGGCCTTATTAATCGCCGACTTTTCTTCTCACTTTGCGCTCTGTAATAGAAAATGAGGTAAAGGCGATCAGTCATTTTTCAACGATACGATTTCCATTGAACCGATCAAAGCTAACCAAGTCGAGGATGCCCAAAATCAGATGTCCAAAGATCGTCCTGGTTCCTTCATGAAAATGCGCTTCCCGCGGGAAGCAAACCTTTCGTTAACATCGTGTAAACTGGAAACGGTCGATAATCGAAACGAGAAGTGGAGGAATTTAGTAGCGCGAATGTAAAATCTTACCTGAAATCTTTCTTTCGTCGAGGGCAGCTTTCCATCGAGAAGTTTACGCTATTCCCCATCCTGTTCCCGAGTGCGGACAAGCCGACACTATTCACTCGTAAACGATAAACTCGTTCTTCCCGGCCAACGAGAAAATTGCTTCGTCCGTGTGAAAATTTCGCACGAGTAAGCGAGACCTGCAAACTCGAGTGAACTTGGGATTTATTGCGCATTAACCCTGACAATTTTTGTACAAATTTATTAAACAAGGAGATAAACAGATGAGATGAGATGGTAATCGAGTTGTATATCGCGTTCTTGTCGTACAAAAGGACAACGCGTACAAGGTGTACACGCGATTCGATCTGTAAAGAAAACGATTACAATGGAAACGTTGGTTTCGCTGAAAGATCCTTTCGAACCTTCGCTCGTCGATAGAAATGTTTCTAAAGATACGTAAATCGTTGCGGCGAATCAACGAATGACGTTGGGTCATCGTAAAAGTTTATTTTACACATCGTTACAGCGTTTCCACGATGAAAATGTTCGTAGAGACGGGGATCGAACTCCGTTATTGGAAGACTAGCATGGCGGTCCCGTTCAAAGGAGTCATTCGATGGATAGAGGCCAAATGTTTAACCAAATGATGCTTGTGCATAAATCGGTATCCGCAAACCTCGCAAGTAAACTGTGGCAATTTCCCGCACTCGACGCGCTTGTGTTTAAACAGTGACTCCTTCCATTTGTACGATTTTCCACAAGTGTCGCAGAAAAATCTCGTTTCGTTAGATCGCTTTGCGTTATCCGTTCCTTGTCGCGTTCTCGATCGTTGTCGCCGATGACCCGGTCGTTGCCACACCGATCCTGCAAAATCATGCAAGCAAACGGTAATAGAAGCGTTAAAACGAATAAAGACTCGATCACGAAAATGGCGAGCATGGATCTGAGTATCTCAAAGGAGAACGCAATCGTAGGGGCTCTTTTCTTTGAATGGTGTTGATTTTTCGCTGGTTCTTAAACGGATAAACGGATAAACGGATAAACGGGTTCGAAGGATCGTGTCGACCGTGAGAGAAACGAGGAATCGAACGCAAAATTCCCGTGGAACATTCGACCTTTTCTCTTTTATTTCGCTGAATAAATAAACTAGAGACGAATTTCGACGAATGAATTACAAAAATAACGGATGCCAGGTGCGCGTAGTATCCGAGAGGGGGACGAGATCTGCTCGATCGTTGGCGTAGGATCGTCGCGAAATCCTACGTGGGCTAACAATTCGTAAAGTCCGAGTTCCTTAAATCTCTGAGACGGCAACTTTTCAAGTGCTGCGTCACGTGGTGTCTATGCTTAAACATTTTTCCGCACTGAGGACACGGCACGTTCGGCATTTTTCCGCACTCGTACCGTAGATGCCGATCGAGAGAACTCTTTTGACTGTACAGCTTGCCGCAAGTACATACGTGCTTCTTCACGTTTATGGAAACCAAGGCCAGCTCCGGTAAGTTCTCGAACGCAAGCCTCGCGTCTTTCGCGTGAAACAGGCCCGAGTCATCTGAAATCAGAAATGCGCCTTCCGTTAACCACTTTCGTACACCCCATTCGTGCTTCGTCGTCTGTGCTTCTCATCACCATCTCGCCGTTAAAACATGCTGCTTTCTTCTTTCTTCTTTCGACCGACTTTCTACGCTTTTACGCGCCTAAGTACACAAAAACGCCTACCCTTTATTCTCGTCGCTCGCGGTGTCGTTCTTAGCGTGCTCGTTCGAATCGGTTTATGACGGACGGAACAGGGACACTCGCTTCGTATTCATCAACGTTTATTCGATCTGTCAAGTATCCAAAATCTATTTTCAAGTTTTAAATCGCTCCAACTAGTTACGAAATATATGCTCGATATTACTTTTTTTTCTTGCTTTCCTTTCTTTCTTTTTTTTTTTTTGTTTTTTTGTTTTTTTGTTTTTTTGTTTTTTTGTTTTTACAGTCAACGAGATTTCATAGGAGATAACAGCAGCGTTCCTCTTTAAAGCGAACAGCAGCTCGATGCCTTTACGTGACGCAACCACAGATGAAGTTTGTTGGTCTTAAAGGTGCATCTCTGACACCGATATTCCTCTCCGCATTCGCCGTGCTGATGACACATCATCGAGAACCTGTGCTTGAAGCGCCTCCCGCAGTGACAGATCAGACGACCTGAAAAAGAAAGCGAAAAACGTGTCACTACGAGGAAACCGTATAGATTTCGAGATTCGTCGATGCTCGACGACGACAACGACCACGCGATTACATCCCGTTGCGAACCCGGTATTCTCTTGCTACTCGTCGCCGAAATAACATGCCCGGATTCTTTTCCATTTCCATTTCCATTTCCATTACCATTCCCATTTCTATTTCCATTTCCATTTCCGCTTCCATTTTCATTCCCCATTCGATCGCTAGCTTAAACAAAAAATGAGACATTAAGAGGTTTGAGCGATCGCGTCGCGGCACAGAGAGGCGAGAGTAGAGAACAGCATCGCGCCGCGACGCGCCTGGACGCGCCGGGACGCGCCGGGACGCGCGGCGTCGCGCCGGCCGGAAAAGACATAAGCGAGAACGTGCGAGATTGCAGGAGACAAATCGTTGCTGAATAATTAAATTCTTTATTGTTCGTCGAGTATCCTCGCTAACACAATGGTTATCAGTGATACACTCACAATGGTAATTATATATTTAAATTCGCAAAAAATCATAAACCATAAAGAATATATCGTATATATGTAACATTTGTATACGCAACATACGATTCCCGCTGAACTCGCCTGAGCGTCGTTTTATATATCGTGTATGCTTCGCACTTGTTACGCGAACGAACAATATTATGCGATCTGTTTTTCTTTTTTCTCTCCGTTTTCGCCTATAATATTTCTTTTATCCGCTACTCGTCGCTATCATCGTCGGCATTTCTGAAAGCTTCTCCGCGAACGGAGAAAAATGTGTCGAACGCTTACGTGCTAATTATTATCGTCATCGATCTCCTTAAAAGCAAGAGGTATTCCTTTATGTTCCGGCTTTCACGATTAAGCTTTCCATTTTCTGGCTCACGCTCGTCGCTCCAAGAATCGTCGACATTTCGCATCGTCCTATGCATCATACGCACATTACACGCATATATAACCGTCATATTTATTTACACGTATCCCTCTGCGTGGTTATTCGCGCGCACATTGTATCTCTACCTTACGGGCGATAACACCTGTATCGTTCGTCGAACAATTAGCACACGCGCACACGCGCACACGCGCACACGCGCACACGCTCCCACGCGGTTAATCGCGTACCATACGTATAAAGTGGTTTGAAAATAATTCTATAGGCATTTCGCGCGTAATCGTTCGTAAAAGTGATCGCGTGACCAGCCTCGTTTATATTGGCACAAATGTTGCAACGACAACGGCGATCGTGCTCGGACGAAGAGGGATCTCGGTCGAATTTATTCAATGTTCAACGATCGTCGCAGACGCGTTGAATATATTCGACGAAATCGCTTCCCCGGCACCGTGTTAATCCTTTCGTTCCATCCTCCTTTGTACACCGTTCTACCCCTCGAACGAAAATCAGAAACGAATACCTGACTCGCGTTTGCACTATGAACCGCGTCGCGTATGGACGCGCGCGCGGCTTTCTAACTCTACGTTTCACCGTGTTAAACGTTCGTAATAAATGTATACCTCTCACTTCCTACGATGTTTATAATCAGTCTTGGCGCTTCTATTACGCTTTATTCGTATTTATATGCGTGCAAAGATTTCAATGCGAACGAAACATTGCATAACCTTTTCTTCCTGTTTCTTTCATTCCTTTTTCCCTCTCTTTATCTTTTTTCTTTTCATCTTCGTTATTCCCTCTATTATTCGTCGCAACGACATCGGTTTTCCCATTTTCCGGTCCGTTCGATCTCGAAACACGCGTTCCGTCTCCTTCACGGTTCGCCAGTCGCTAAGAGTAGCAACGAATATCGTCTTCGAAGCTTCTTTTATTTGTCTGTGTATCATCGAACAACGTTAACGGGGCGTTATCTTGAAAGTAACATTACGCTTTGGCTTGGATCTTGGAAACGAAAACGACGGATTGGGATTCGGATTCGGCATCGGATTGGGCGGGAGAACGCACACGAAATACAATAACGATACAACGTTCGATTGGAACCAATAACGGTCAAACGTCCCGATCGCGTTTTGAGGCACATGGAATCTTTTTAAAAGAATCACTTGGAATCGTTGATCGCAAATAAGCTTGCGAGGAAGAAACGAAAGTGGCTGATGTGCCGATGCAAGCAGCCTTTGGAAAAAAAGACGCAAATCGCGAGGTTTCCGTGCGAATTTGCTTTCGAAGCGTTGAAGAAGATGGTCGAGCAGAAGCTCGAGTACGAGAACGAGAACGAGAACGAGCGCGTGGAAGCTGAGAGGTTCACAGTTGTCTCGTACATCTCGTCGATGCTTCGTCGTCGAATAATCGAGTAGAAGAAAAGTCGCGTTGAGTGGAGCACATCGATGCGTGGCGAGACACGATCGGTGATTTCGCGATTTCGGAGAAAAGACGGATAAATGGAGCGAAGAAATAGCGGAGAAAACACGATCGACGACATCGTCCAGAGGGAAAAGAGGAAGACCCGCGAGGTTAGGATAGTGGTCGATCGTCTACGTCTATAGCTTAGGTTTAATCGAACGATTCGTAAGATACAAGATCAGGCGGAAAGTTGCAGGAACTCGCCGCGATGCTCCGCGCGCAGGATCCAGAGAAGCGCGGAGAAAAGATAAGAGGTTCGACGGAGAAAGGACAGGAAGACGGGAAGAAAGTGAAAAGTTTGGCAAAAGTTTATGCCCTACGGGGATAAATACGAGATTCAACGCCGCTATAGAACATTATCGATACGCTTCTTCGCTGAGTCGCGGTTGGCCGGCTAACGGAACCGTCATCGAGCTTCCATTTGACTAGAATCTTGCCTCGAGATTATTCTTCGTCGAATCTTTGGTCCTTTTGATCGAGGATTCTCTCTCTCTCTCTCTCTCTCTCTCTCTCTCTCTCTCTCTCTCTCTCTTTCTCCCTCTTTCTCGCATTCGTTGGATCTCGAAGTTAGCTCGTGTAACGCGCGAAATTATCGTAAGGATCGTTCCCTGATGTTTCGTATTGTCCTCGATGTCGATGAAAGAAGCGCGGTAAAATCTATTCTCAAAATAACGTGCCTCTAATTATACCCCGAAATCGACGTTACACCTTCGTGTCCAAACCTTCCACGATCGCGAACCTTTTCGTTTTTCGTTTTTCGTAATCGTTAACATCGTTATCACAGAGATCCAATCGCGATGAAAAGTCGAACTCGATGGATCCGTTGTTCCGGCCAATTCGCATGGAAAGACACGTTTTTCTTCTTCTTCGATCGTACCGCGTACGACATACGACTTACGTCATCACCATAAACTTACTATGCAATATGTATATGTATATGTATAAGTATATGTATATGTATAATATATCATATATAATATATATTTTTTTGATTTAAATAGATTCTCTATCTTGGGTATTATTCTACGTTAGGTAGCGGCCCGCTTAGGCCCGTTTCTAAACTAGACGATCCTAACTGAAACGAAAGGAACCAACGCGTCGTGTCGTCGAACGAATCGAAGCGAAAGTACCTTTTTCTCGATCGTCGCATTCGTTCGATCGTTTCTCGTTGATTCTTAAACTACGCACGATCTCCGACAAAAATAATACGGCTTTGATCGTATTCGCGATGACAACTTCACTTTACGTTATAAAGCTTTCTTATGCATCACCCTTTTTGTCGATCAGTGAAAAGGCTACGACGCGACGTCAATTATCGCGTTATCGATCTCGCGTTCAATCGGTCGAGTGGTCGATTGCGTGGAAAAGTAATCGTCCTCGTTTCTTTCGGGGAAACTGGCTCAGGGATGGGGATGTTCTCGCCTCGGTATCTTTGTCGTCCAATTCGACGAGATCATATATATGTACATATATACATATATATATATATATATATATA